ACATCAACAAACACCTACTTCTGGGAGAGAGACGACATCTACACACACACACACACACACACACACACACACACACAAACGCACACACTCGCCAGCTCGCGGAGAGACGATTGCACGGCCGCTTTTCCCCGCTCCTTGGACCTGCCATCCCCTCTCGCTCTGCGCAGGCAGACGTACACACGAAGCCGAAGGCGACCTCGAACCCGGAACTAGACCGCAAAGTGAATAAATAAGTTACCCGCCATCTCTGACACGACTTGTTACAAACTCACTTTCGCGTCAGATCAAACAAAATTCCCAGTCCAAACGACCTTTCAATCCCTCCGTCCCTCCCCCCCCCCGCCCCTTCTCTCTCTGTGTCTGTGTATGTATATAAATATGTTATTCTTCCAAAGAGACTGTGACACTACTTACCTTTCACAAACTGCAATCATAAAGTCCTCTATTGCTGGTTAAGCAGAGTCAGTGTGTGTGACACTACTACTACTCCTCCAAAAGCGGTGACCACACAGGCCAAAACTTGCTACGCTGCTGCCTCCTCGTTGGCTCGGCAGGTCAAGTCCGGAACGAGCGGTGTGATTTAATCAAACACTACTACTACCGCAAGATCAGTGGGATTCTGATCGGGATCGTCCTATCTTTCCAATCACTAGATTCTGATCGGGAGCGCGCCCAATACGTCCCGTACTTTCCTCCACCCCTTTCACTTACGCACCCCGCCGGGATCGCCCTGTCTTTCCAATCACTGGATTCTGATCGGGATCGGGCCCAATACGTCCCGTCCTTCCCTCCCGCCATTTTCCGTCACGTCCCCCATTTTTATGAACTCGAAAATATATCTGTCCTCCCCCTCACCCTGCCCCTCTCTCTCTCTCTCTCTCTCTCTCTCTCTCTCTCTCTCTCTCTCTCTCTCTCTCTCTCTCTCTCTCTCTCTTTCTGTGTGTGTGTGGCGCGCGAGCGCGGAGACGGACAATCACCCTCCAATTTTCCAAAACTGGCGATATGTCTGCTGGCAGATGTGCGCGCGCAAGCGCTCACCTGAAGGGGACTGGATGAGGGGAGCTGGTGGGGCCTTCTCCCCTTCTGCTTTCTCTGCTTCCTGTGGGGCAGCTAGCTATGGCGTTGAGAGGGTGGACGCGGCATTTTTCAAGCCTCTCCTCGAGTTCTGTGATAACGGCGGGCTGTTGGTACCTCCTCTTCCTCCTGATCGAACTCATGGGCAGCGAGCCTATCTGGTCAAAAGCCACCTTAAGAAGAGCGTCGGCGTCGAACGCTCTGGATGTGAACTCCTGAAGCAAGCTGACGACGTCACCGACATTCATCAGCTTCATGATCTGCGGCTCATTCAGCTTGAAGATGGCCAGCGCCACTCGGAACAACACCTTCGCTCCCTCGTTGAACAGCACATCCCATAACCTCATCGCCATCTCCGTCGGGAAGCTCTTCGCAAACAAGCACAAGAACCACTCCGTCGTTACGAGCCCCACATCGAAGCCGATCAGCTTCAGATGTGTCGACAGCTTGGGCAGTTTCTTCCACAACAGGTCCTTGAGTACTCTCTGCTCCACGTGGCAGCCCAGCAGGTTCTCAGAGTAGCAGTCCGTTAACAGCAGCTCCTCGAGCAGCACAGTCAGCACCCAGAAAGCGTCTTCCTCTGACCGTAACACCACCAACAAGTATGCAGCCACATAATTCATCCCTTGGCAGTAACCAACGGAAGTCTCTCTCCAAGAGTAGGCAACGAGAATCCGTCGAAGTGACCTCAAAGCGGCCTCCGTGTCGAGCCAAGGGTGGCCAGGGAAAGTGCGTCGGAGATCGTTGTCGATCTGTCGCGTCGCCGCCGTCTCTCTTCCCTCCATCTCTCGAAGCAACGACTGGTAGTAGTCTGGCGGCATGGATGCTTTCTTCCTCATAGCCCCCGAGCAGGTCTTCCAAACCTCAGGTCGTAGCCGGGCAGGCACACCCTTTCGAACCATCTTCTTCACCCTTGTATTATGCCGGAAACACACTGCCGCCGCCTTGAACTTCAGCTTCAAACCTGCTTTTCGAGTGGATGACAGCTCTCCTCCTCCTCCTCCTCTTCCTCCTCCTCCTCTTCCTCCTCTTCCTCCTCCTCTTTCTCCTCCTCCTCCTGTTCCTGGTACAGTTACTTCTGCTGATCGTGTGACTGAAGTTCCGTCATCTGGTAGTGGACCAGGCTCGGAACCTGGTCCGGGCCTTGGTCTAAATACCGATCCGCATAGCAATCGCGAAGCCGCACTCTTGTACCAGTGAGGGCCCTGGATTGCTTCTATGGCGTCCCACAGCTTGCCTGTCTCGCTCGTACGCTGCTCCACTTCACGTATAAGAGCCGCGTCCGCTGCTGTCACCTCCGCTCTGAAGCCATAGCCATCGGTGACAGAGATCCTGTTCGTCTGAGAGCAGACAGGAGAGGATCCTTGAATCTTCACCGACAGGGGCGGCCGCCGAGGACTACCCCTCCAACAGCCTCGGAGCCCTGCTATTTGTCTTTCCATCGTTTCGCCCTCCATCGCTGCTTCTACTACCACAGCTCCTGCCACTGCCGTCCCTCCTCGTATTTCTACCTGAGCGGGCATGGCTCTGCTCGATCTGATCCTCTTCTTTACCACATCACCGTCCTCTCTCTCTCTCTCTCTCTCTCTCTCTCTCTCTCTCTCTCTCTCTCTCTCTCTCTCTCTCTCTCTCTCTCTCTCTCTCTCCCTCCTAACAAGGCATTTTCCCAATCGGGATAGTCCTATTAGGCGCCCTGCTGATCATCACCGAAAGGAGAGGAAGAAAAAACAAGAAAAATATAGAGAGGAATGGACCAAAAAAATACAAGAAGGGACCAAAAAAACAAGAAAAAGAGAGCAAGAAAATGAGAGCAAGAAAAAAATATAGAGAGGAAGGGACAAAAAAAAAAGAAAAAAGAGGACGAAATGAAGAGGAAACAAAGTGGGCGAGAGCGAGAGAAAGGAACCGGCAATCGGACTAGACAAAAGGGGCTTAGTCTTACCGACTCGTTCCCCCTCGTGCTTGTCTTCTTCTCTCTGACCGCTTCCCCCCCCAAAAAAAAACAACCACCTCCCTTCCCCCCTTACCCCTCACCTCCCCCTTCTTATATACCTCCTCCACTGAGAGACTGGCACCTCACACTGCGAAAATTGCAGAGTGAGAACTGCGACATCGACGATGACGAAGAAGCCATTAAAAAAAAAAAAAAAAACAAGAGCATACACGCTCTTCCTCCTCCCCTACTCTACTCTCGCCTTTCCCCTCCTCGTCCCCCACGCATCTAAACACTTGTGGGGTTTTTTTTCCCGTCTCAGGGGAGAACTAGGATCGCGGGCAGCCCTGCAATGCGCTACCTCGAGACTCGAGAACCAGTTTTTCACCAATTGTTATAACTCCCATTACTCCGACTTCGCCTCCACCATATTATCAACTCCATTTTCGACATCGCTCTTAAGCTTCCTCTCTCGATTCTTCTTGGTACACTTATCTGGTGGCATTACGATCCTGCTACTACGGCATAGCAGCAGGTCGTTCTACGAAGCCGCACGTCCTCACGTCCACCATGGCCACGTCCAACATGGCCACACGTTCTGACGTCTCCCTCCCAATACACACCGGCCAGCTGCAGTAAGCAGACCACCCTCCTCCCTCACTTTTCCGCCAATCAACTGTACCAAC